ATAATGTTAACATTTTTAATAATATAATTTCTAACAAAATTTTATATACAATAACAGCCTTACTCCACTTTTTATAAATTGTTTTAAGATAAGGTCCTTTCTTTTTTTGCCCTGGGTCATAAAATTATTAAATTTTAGAGAAAATACAAGCTTCTTTAGCCAGGTTAATCCTGGCTTTTTACCACCCAAATTTTACATTAATTATTCGGAAATCTGAGAAAAATAGAGAAAGATAGAGTAATTGATTTAGTCTTTTTTATATAAATTTTGGAAAAGTAATATTTTTTTAATACAATAAAACCTTCTTTCGGAAGCTTAAAATCATAAAAAAGTTTTCTTACAATCGCTATAATACTAAGGATATCATAATTTTAAATATAATATACACAATTATTAATCATGAATGGAATATTTAAAATAATTCTCATTTTTAATCAATAAATTATGGTTTCTGGTAATTTAATTAAAATATTAAAAAAGATTTTTAATTTTTTTCCTTATTTGTTCTTTGATAAAAAAAGTTAAAGAAGCATTATTGCCTTATTAATCGTAACTGAAACATTGGTTTATTAATAAATTATTATCATCAAATATTAAAATCAAACAATTTTAGATTAGATTTTTTCTGTTTAATAAGAAATAAAATGTAAGGTTGAGATAGTTTTAGCGCAGTTATATAAGATAGTGGAAAATTAATTTTTTATTAATTATCAAAGACATTAATGGAAATTTAGTACTATTGTTTGTTTGACCCCTTGGTAATAAATCCTCATAAAATTTTGTGTTATTTATGTATTAATGATATAGTATAATATATATTTATAGAGAATTTTTAATAATGTGATTATTTTTGGACAAAAAACTATCTTCGTTTATGAATTTTGTAAAAAATTATTTAAATATATCAAATTCACTGTTGTTTTTGTAACATTTCTAAAGGTTCCAATAAGGCATAGTCATTATCTATTTCTAAAGAATTAGCTGGTTTAACTGTTAATCTATTAGACTCTTTGCTGTTTTAATGATCCAGATAGTTATTGGACAATTTTCCTCCCATTTAATGACTCTGTTACAGAACTTAATCTCCAAATTATTGTTAAATAATAAATTATATTCTTGAAATTTCATATAAGATGTTATCCAATCTACATTTTTCTTTTGCTCTTTTAATAAAAGTTTTATATTTAAATTTAACATTCTCATATGATTTATTCCTACTGTTTTCTTGTTATTCTGAATTTACAAACTCATTTAAATAGTTCAATTTGATTTTTTTGATTTCTGGATAATACATAGATACTATTTCATGGAGTAATTCGTTTTCTAATAGCATTTTATTGTAATATATAGCAATATATTTTAGTAAAAATATTACTTACACAATTGATCCAACTTAGGCTAGAATTTAACCTAGCTTTGGAAGTGTGATACTTTCTAAAACAGAAATGTTATCAATTCTAAATAAATAACAACCATAACTTTTGAATTGATAAGCTTTTTTTGACATTTAGCTAACCACTTAAGCAGTGAAAAGATTATCAACTGGTTAATGGATCAGCTCATAATTGTTTAAGAAATAGTAATTTTCATAATTATTAAATAATATTCCATCATCAACAATAGATTCTTATTATTTAAGCATAACCTATGAATACAAAGGTTTAGATGGTTCTAAGGCTGTATAATATTATTTTTGAATTTCTTCTAGTTAACCTGTAGAAGATTTAAGTTAGTTTAATTTAATCGTTAAGAATAAAAACCCATGTAATTTAGATAAATACTAAGTTATAACATCTTCATCAGCACAATAACTTCCAGGCACAGCAGTTTGATTAGAACAACCCTCTAAAACGAGCAACAATTATGTCATTTCTAAACGCCCATCATTTCCTGTATAATCATGGTTTAAAACAATAGTTCCATCACTTATCGATATTTTAAATGGCTTATTTTCACTACTGAATAATGGAATTGGTTTATCAACTATAGTTGTATTTAAAATTCTATATAAATTAGGAGTAATTATATTATTTTCTTTTCTAAATGGATCTAATTCTCCGAAAAAATCTTATAATTCTAATTCAATAATAGAGTCTGACAACGAAAACTCAGCGTATGATATAGTTTATTATTTAATACTCGCAATAGGAGGAATTTAATGATCAATCCACAATATGATTACATATAAAAAATAGATTAGACTAATGCTTCCAATAATAAGAGAAACTATTCCGCCAATCTTACTTTAATATAAGGATGCTTTAGCATTAGTTAAAAGATTTATTGGAACCCCAAATATATCGAATTTATCAATAGTATTTAGTATTTTGTTCATTTTAATTAAAAAATAAATTACTAATTAAATAATTTCCAAAATTTATATTATAATTAATTCTAATTTATAAATATTAATCAAACTTATACTATTTCACTAATCAGATTAAAAAATAGCTGCAATCCTAATTTTCGATCATCCAGAAGATTAAAGGAATTGTATATTGGACAGACTTAATTAAGCTTTGAATAATTGGTTCACTAAAATATTGTGTATTTTATAATTAAATCTTTATTATTGAACAGATATTCATTTTATGATTATTTAGTACTATAAAGCTTATATTTCTACTATGTTAAATTTGAAATTTAATTCTCCTTTTTCTTATATTTTATAATCCAGAATTAATAAACTTAATTGATTTTAATCTGAATGTTTCGCAAGGTAATCTGCCTTTTACTATTTTCCTATTGATAAAAAACTCATTAATTTATTCATTTCTTAGCAAAATTTGTTAGATAATAAAAAATAATATTTTATTAATTTTATAAAATAGAAAACATTTCAAATGAATAATTATTTTCTATTCCTCTATAATTAAAATTTAAATTGATAACCCAATGATCACTAGAATCGTCTTTAACCTGTTTGTGAACCTTAAGAGAAAAATTTTCATTAAAAATTGTTTTTAACCGATTTTTTTATCTTAATAAATTATATGTAATTATAATTTTTTTAACATTCACTATTATCATTATTCACAAATAAATCATGATATAAATTGTACAATAAATTTGAATCCCTTTATAAACTATAAAATTGCAATTATAAGAAAGAAAATATTAATATATCTATTAATGCATTAAGTATGTTCTTTTCTCTTAAACTTGAAATCTATAAAAAAGGCATTCATTTTATCAGTTTTAGATATTTTTTATAATTTTGATAAATCTTTATTTAATAACTTGTTATTATATTTCTCTTTAATATAAATTCTGCTTAAGGAAATTAAGGTTACGATTATAGATATTATTTATGTTTTAAAGATAAACTTTATTCAAAAAATTTTAAAAGGGGACTTAAAACTACAATGGGTCTAAATTAATTTTAAATAGGAATTAAGGAGTATGCTTGGTTAAATGGAATTAATCTTGCTTCTCCTAAATAAATATTTTTTTCTAATGTACTATTTTTCCATATATCAGCTCGTATATTTTTATTTATTGTAGTTTTTAAAAAGGTATCTGAGACTCCATCCTTTTTATTGCTTTATCTTTAGATAATTATTTCTATAATTCTTTTATTCTTTAACTGATAATTTTGGTAAAGTTGGTAATTTTTTGGGCATAAAGGGTGAAGAATTTATAATTGAATTGATGAAAGAATTTTTTGATTGTTCAGATTAATCAATCTATGTTGCTAGATAATAGATAAAGCAAACGTTTCAAAATAATTATCGAAATTAAGGTAGATTATCAAATAAAATATTTTATAATTTAGAAAGATTAGATGATTAAATCATTTTAAGCCTTTAAGCTATAAAAATTTGGTTGAATTCTAAGAACCAAACCGCCTTTTAGTAAATATAATAGTTTTTATTAAATAAATTTTAGAATTCTAATTTTAATTTTAATTTTGAGTATGTTTAAGAAAGCATCAATTTATCCTTCAAATTACTAATAAACTATGGTAGTATATTAGATTATAAATAAAATTCAGCATTTATTAGTGGTATTAATTATTCTAAATAATTATTTGAGGAACTCAAATTTATTTTTCATAGTTTATGGAGTTCTGATTAACCTTATGATTAAAAAACAGAATTTTCCTTAAATCCTGTATAAAAAGAATCAAATGATATTAAAGGATGTCAAGTCTACATCCTATTTTACATGACCATCTTAATATTAAAAAATATATACAATCTACTACAATCTTATTTCATTTAATAGATTAACTTTATCCATTAGATTAGCTCTAATTAAATCATAAAGTCTTAGAACAGGTTCAAATTTATATGGACTAAAAAGTAACCAGAAGAAAATTAGTTTTATTTATAAATATGGCAAATAGTTTTTAGTTTATATTTAGAGAATGAAGATCAGTGATTGGGGACAAGAAATAGCTTTTTTATTTCAATTTTAGATATGGAAAGTCGAAAGAAAATTCTTCATCCATAGAAATTCCATGCTCTACTTTAAATTTGTTAATACCTTTGACTAGAAGAAGCTCCATATTTTCTTAGCAAGATTCTAATGCTAATTGTGAATTTTTAAAGTAATTAAAATAAAGAAAAGTTTCTAAGAATTTTTTTAAGTAAATAATTATTACAATTTAATTATAAATTTTATTTCTGGAATAAAAATACAACTAAACTAGTATATCAATTAAAAAAGTTTATTAAATTATTATGGTTATTAACTAAAGATTTGAGTTTGTTACAATCTTAGAATAAAAGTTGTACTTATTTTCGGATGATTAAATGAGAGAACTAATTGAACTTCTTTTTTTGGTTGTTCAGCTTCTAATATAAGTAGACATATTAGTTTAAAGAATGCAACTAATACGGCATAATATAAAATGAAGTTTGTTTAAAGGTAAATTATATATCATAAATATTTTAGGTATATTAATTTCAATGAATGATTAAAGCAAAACGATATTTCGAGAAGCCCCAAAAGAATCGTAAAAAATAAAGTATTGAAACAATCTGCATTTTCATAATATGTAGGTAATTTATATATAAATTGAATCTAAAAAATAATAACTTTAAGTATAAACGACTTTGACAGAAGAGATGATTTAGTTAAAAGATTATATTCAAAACTAAAATTTAATGCTTCTCCTTCAATTTTGGATAGAAATGATGAAAATAAAATGAAGATTAGAAGCCATAAACTGATACGATTATAAAAGAGGATAAAAAAGAAAATGTAGATAAACAATAATGAATATCAAGGGAAGATTTTCAACCAGAAGATTTTAAATGAAAAAAAAATTGAAAATTAAAATATAACAAAAGATATATCAAAGAATGATTAAAATAATTCAAATAAGTAACTTGATAATGTGAATAAAATTGTAAATTATAAATTGCAAATAATTGATAGTGAATCATAGACTAATCAAAAATACAACTAATTCTTCTATTTTAGTAACAGGGTAAATAGGCTGATTCATCTCAAACTAATATAACATTAACTCAACCTCCTCTCCCACTACCGCCACCTCCTTTAAATCCAAAAACTAATGGACTGGTTGTTGAAACTTTAATTGATATTAAATATTGAATGGTTTTTAATATAGAATAAGATCATAAAAATTTAGGTCTGTTCATGATGATTATAAATAAGATTTGATTGATAAAATGGCAAATTTAACCTCAAGATTTTAAGAAATAAGAAATTTGTAAGGATTATTTGTTAATAACATTAAATAATGGAAACTATTTAAATGGTAAACATCAAATGTAATATTTGTGCTGAAATTATGAAAATCAAAATAATAATTTATTATTGTAGAGGATAGAGAAGACAGAGTAAATAATAGGAAATGAAACAATTTCTGAAGAAAGTAATTATAATATTTATGATTAAAAATAAAATCATTTGATATCCTTCAAAAGTTCCAGTTCATTAATTAGTAGTTGTATTAGGAGAAATCAAAAAAGATTGCATGGTTATGAATCAATCACTAAGTACATTGAAGAACTTGATAAGTAGATTAATCGTATAGAAGTAGAGTATATAACTTCTGCATAATAATATGGTGAAAATCTTAAAGACCTTTAAATTAATTATTTTTAATTGAGGAGTTTCTATGTGATAAATTAAGTTAATAGAAAAAAATTTATTCATCATCCCTATCAACACTATGTTTTATTCTCGAAAGGTTTCATTTTTATTAAATTTTTATATTTCTATCAGCTATTTCTTTAATTCTATCAACATTATTAATTAAAATATAAAAAACTTATAAAAAATAAATGAAGGGATGGTTGAATTAGTTAGAAATTATTTAAAAAGTAGGAAGAAATGATGATTAAGTTAAAAGAATAAAACTTTTTGAAAATAATGAATATTTAATAACTCAAAAAACAAATGATCATCTTAAATATGAATTTTCTTAAGAAAAATGTTTCAGCTTAGCTTAGCTAATTGAATCAATTGTAATATTAATTATAATTATAGAAATACAATTTCATTAAGATCTATAAAGGATAAATATTAATTATTATATAATCTATGTTAGAGCATCTATTAAAATTACATTAAATTATTTAAATATCACATGGAAAATTAATACCTAAAAATATTATCATATAATTAAAAAATGATAAACATAATAAATTAACAATCTTGTAAACTAAATTTAAAATTGAAAAAATTTATTTTGTGAATTATAGACTTATTGATGATATTAATTATCAAATAAATAATTAATTTCAAGATATATATGATATTATTGATTGTTCTATTTCACTTATTAAAGCATTTTCAAATTACTAATGTTAATTCCTATAGTTTATTCTAAATACTTTAAGTGATTTTAAATAAGTTAAATAGGCGGATGTTTTATCTAGATTATTTGCATTTTTTTAAAAATAAACTTCATTGTATGATATATTAAAATTTTAGGTGTGTAGATAAGGAAAGCTAGAAAGTGAAAAATATAAAAATCTAACCATTTAATTTGAATTAATCAAACTCTCAATCAATTAAATGTGGAGAATTTAAAGAATATGGTTTGTTATCTAAAAGAAATAGACTTATAAAGCTTATCGAAAATTTGGTTGAAGATATTTAATGTTATGATATAACTACCAAATTAAATTAATCAGCTAATTTATTTAATTAATCAGTTTATATTTTTAATTAATCTTAATTAAAATTTGATGATGAAAAAAAGATTTTTCAAGTTTTTTAAAACATAATTTAATAATAAACCATGAGAATTATTTGGGAAAAGTATGGAACCCTTTTAAGAGCTAATTATTGGGATTGTGATATGGAAAAATAACAAGAAGAACTTTTTAAAGATATCAACTTATATAATTAAACAATCTTAAATTAACATTTATTTGAGGTTTTATAAGAATTTAAAAATGTTTAATCAATAAATTATGAAATAAAAGAAGAAATAGAAAGAAAATATAGATTTGATATTATATATGATGAAAAAAAAGCAAAAGCGATATTTATTTTAGAATTAATGATTGAAGCATAGAATTATGATTTTTAAAATATCCAAACCTTTATTAATAAAGTCAAATAAAATGTGAAATTAGAATTATAAGAATATTATAATAAAGTCTTAAAGTTTAAAATATTAAATCTTGGAAATGATCTAATTTGAGAATTATTTAAATATATTCAACATAATTATCATTAATTATTCATAAAGAGCTTGTTAGAATAAGGGTTTGTCCATTATAGGTTTATTTCAGCAGTCAGATAATGTTGAATGTTCTAGGTTTGGGGTTGGCTGGGCAAAGATT